CCCCAAAACCCCAAAACCCCAAAACCCCAAAACCCCGTTGGGGAGGAATGGGGTTGAGAGGGAGGGTTTATAGATTTGTGGGTAGGTGGTGGATGTGAAATATAGTTTTGGGGGTTGAGATGGGATTGGTAAAGGAATTTAGGGGTGGTTTTGGAGTTTATTGATAATTTTAACTCCAGTAAGTTGGTTTTTAGCAAAAATTTCTTCGGCTTCTTTTTGGTTGATTCTACAACCACTGATATCAACTTTTTTGAGGCTTAGTCTTAAATTTAGAGAATTCGCCAGTCCTTGGACCAAGTTTTTGAACTCCTCAAGGTTGTATTCCCAGGTGCCAAAATAAAAGTCTCCTCAATTAAAGAAACTTAGTTCCTGAAAATTGCAATTTATCAATGCTCTTGAGAAATCAGGAACAACGGGAATCGAGAGAGTGCAATCATATAAATTGAATGATTTCAAATGCCTACAAGCAGCCATCAACCTCTTTAGTTGTTTCATGTTAAGCCTGAATAAGATAAGGGTCACACTTCTGATAACTTTAGAGCTGAGTGTGATCAATACGTTGAGATAATTAGATCTGTTCAACTCCATTAAACTTGAAGAGAAAACCCTAAGATCATTAGCTTTATTGGGAAATCAGAATCTCAGAAGATTCTTAATTCGTTTATTTTTATTTTTAATGTTATAAAATCTAATCTCATTTGCATCTAATAACTTTCAGAATTTTAGTGTTTGTATAAATCTCATATGAGCAGAAGATCTACAATTAAAATTTATACTTCCAGAATAGGAGTTGGATTCTGAGCTTGATGGATTAAGATATCCTTCCCTTGAAAAAGTTCTATAGAAAATACTGCTGAACTGTTGATAATCCTGCACTCTGTTCTCTGTCAATGTAGACTTCTCTAAACTACAAAATTTTAAAGTAAAAATGATTGTTTGAATTCTTGTTGGAAAAGACCTGCTTTGATTTATACCAATCAATGATTCTCTAGTTTTAGACTCAAAAGAAGCATTATTTTTCTTGAAAGAGGTACCAAAGATTAATCTAATAACTATTAGATACTTTCAAAATCAGAGCATCAAACTATACTCATTTTAAATAAAAATATTAAAATCCTATCCACTCTAAAGCTATGTTCACTTTTTTATTTAATTCCCATAATTCCTATCACCCAAACCTCCCATTGCCCCCCTCAATTACCTCACCAGTCTGGAACGCTTATTCCCTTCTCCTCCTGAAGCTGCTTCTGTGATTGACCTCTCCATTTCTTATAAATTATTACTTACGAATTAATTATTGCCAGGTTTTTCAATTGTGTTATTATGAGAAGGGGTTTTGGGGTTTTGGGGTTTTGGGG